ATGGTAATTACTTTTGCCGATGCTTTGCGGCAAGCTTAAGCCTATTGCGTGCATTTGAACGCAGAACTCTTCAGCTGCGCTGATGGCACGCATGCTGCTGCTGCTGCTGGAGGGACACTAAACACCGTCGAGCTGCTCTTGACAGTCGCGGCAGCACAGTCTCGTGTTGTTTCCACCAGCGCGACAATTTTTTTTTCATCACTAATTGATGGATGTCTAAAATATAAAAATAAGGAGAAGCCTAAAACAGGCCCGAGGCCCGGCCTGCTTCTGAACTATGACGTGAAAATTGGCCCGAAGCCCAGCCCTAGGGATGTAAAAAAGTCGGGGCCCGTTGGGTCCTGGCTGAAATGCAAGGCTGTAGTGACAAGGACACTGGGCACATGTGTAACAATAAAGTGTTACCCATTATTTATTTATTTATAAAAAAATATATGGTTGCACTTAATTTTAAGGTGCCCTCGTTACAGTGTAATTACACATTTAAGTACGGAATAATTTTAAGTATGGAAATAATCAATAACATGTACTTACTATAGGGGTTAGGGTTAGGAAAAGGGTTTGGTTTAGGGTTAGTTGCATGTAATTATGCATACTTTGCTGTTATTGCTAATGATAATAAATGTATATAATACTAATAAATAAATAAAATAAACAACAAATAAATAAATGTTTTGCATAAATAAATAAATAAATATAGAAATGTTTTTATATAATATATTTACGAGAATATTTTATATATTATTATATAAATACTTCTATAAATATGTAAGATTTTTTATATAAAAATATTTGGATTTTCATTTAGCAAGGATGCAATAAATTGACTTTTAGATTGTATCATGTTTACAAAATATATTCCACAAAATAGCAGCTGTTTTCAGCATTGATAATAATAAGAAATGTTTCTTGAACAGAAAATCAGTATATTAGAATTATTTACGAAGGATCATGTGACACTGAGGACTGGAGTAATAATGCTGAAAATGCAGCTTTGATAACAGCAGTAAATTATATTTTAAAATAGAAAACAGTTATTTTAAATTGTAATAATATTTCACAATATTACTTTATTTTTTATTTAAAAAAGCGTCTTCGGTGAGCACGAGACTTCTTTCAAAAACATACCAAATCTTACTGAGCCTAAATTTTTGAATGGTGGTGTGTTTTATATAATATTATTTATAACTATATAAAGTTTAATTGAGTGTAAAATTAAAGTGTAATATAATACATTTTATTATCTTTTTATATATTAAAATACATATTTATGCCAGCCAGCACAGGTCATTGTGATTACTTACATTTTATTTGATTTGTTCTTTCCATTTTAAGCATATATAATATTGAATTTCCAAATAAATTTAAATTAAATTTATGCATTTAGCAGATGCTTTTATCCAAAGCGACTCACAGTGCATTCAGGCTATACATTTTTTACCAGTATGTGTGTTCCCTGGAAATTGAACCCACGACCTTTGCGCTGCTAACGCAATGCTCTACCACTGAGCCACAAGAACATTGGTTATAATATGTTAACTAATACGGTTACTGGCAAGTTAACTCTGTTTTATTTATACGCCAAAACCAATTTTTAGTCGGATTTGGCGCTTGGTCAGTGTTAATTTTGCACCATGCTTGTTTCTGTTGGCTGTTTCAGTGTTGGAAGAGGATACATTAG